AAAAAAAAAAAAAAAAAAAAAAAGTACATAGCCTGTGACACACCCACAGCCGGGGGGGTTCGACTTTGGGCACGATCTGAGGCGGATGCATTCGGAAAAGTGTCAGGGTGTGGGGGTAGTTTCTTTTTTTTTGGGGGGGTCGTTTTTGTTTTCCTTTTTGTCGTTTTGTGGCCGAACAGATGGTCTTAGGGCCTCGCTCCGCTACTGTCCACGTGCACAAAAGACACAAATATGGTGGTAATTTGTCGACAAAGAAAAAATAATAAATGATGGTGTATCTTTCCATGTTCTAGAGGAAAACTCTCTCTCATTTTGCACACTTGGAAAGTAGTGGAGCGAGGCCCTTGGGCTTGGGAAGCTACACAGTGACAGCATGAGGGTTTGACTTTGGATGAGATCTGTGGCAGATAAATTCAGAAAAGTGCCACCGTTTGTGCGGGTAGTTTGTTTTTTTATTTATTTAAAAGGGCAACGACCTTTTAGACATCATCATTGAACTGACCGGCCCCAGGCAATTCAGAATGATTTCATTCGCATCATCTGATGGTATCTGGATTCGAACTTGAGTCTGTATTTCAACAGTTTGGGAATTTAGGGGGTGTAGCAACTGAGCTTGGTTGTTTTTGTTTTCCTTTTGTCGTTTTGCGGCCAGACAGATACTACACATGATCTTAGGGCCTCACTCCACTACTCTCCACGAGCACGAAAGAGAAGAGGGGGAGAACGGCGAGACAGGGGAGGAGGGGGAGAAGGACGTTGTGGGGGAGGGGGGAGCGGGAGAATGGCATGACAAGGAAGGAGGGGTGGGGGAAGAATATAGCAGAGGGATATGGGGGAGACGCATTGACATGAGGTGGGAGAAAACAGGAAGGGGGTGGGGGGGTCACGGAGGGAAAGGGGGAGAGCGGGGAGGAGCAGGTATGTGCCGCGAGTGTAGCCGTGGTATTCAACCACTTGTTATTTCATAACAATTGTCCCTCTTTTTATCCCGTAACCATTGGCTCCAGCTCGTGCACACGTCTGCTTGGCTTCTTTGGCGCTCTCACGGAAGGAAAGGGGGAGAGTGGGGAGGAGTAGGTATGTACCGTGAGTGTAGCCGTGGTGCTTTGTATCCTGTAACCATTGGCTCCAGCTCATGCACGCGTCTACTTGGTTTCTTTGGCGCTCTCACGGAAGGAAAGGGGGAGAGTGGGGAGGATTAGGTGGTGCGAACCACTTGTTATTTCATAACAATTGTTGAATTGTCCCTCTTTTTATCCCGTAACCATTGGCTCCAGCTCGTGCACGCGTCTGCTTGGTTTCTTTGGCACTCTCATTTTGTATCCGTAACCATTGGCTCCATTGAGGGCTGGCATGTGTGAAGATGTTGACACCGGGAATTGTTTCTAGCCTACAGAAGCATATCGAGTGTTGCAGTTGGGGATTAGGTGGGTAGGTGGCGGGGAAAACAGGATGCGAGTGCGAGCCCTGCCTACCTACCTACGTACCAACCTTCTTACCGACCCCCCCACCCATGCACCCAGTCAAAATACAACAGTGAAACGACCACTTCAACAAAACATCATCTCATTTTCAAGTGTGATGTCTTTGCATCCAGGTGGAGAAGGGGCTGCTTTGGTGATCGTTACAACACAAGAGAGAGAGAGAGAGAGATGTGTGGAAGTGATCCAGATTTGTATCGTCCTGTCTTTTGGCTTGTTTATCAGGGACCGACAACAAGTGGGCGTGCGGCCAGAGGTGCGGTCGCCAACTGCTGAGGAGCAGCAACAGCAGCAGCAGCGACTCAGATTGATGCGGGCAGCACTGGCTGCAAAAGCTCACCATGGTGGAAAAGGTAGCATGGGTCTAATGAGTGCTGGGTTGGGTGTGGTAGCACCAAGCCTGCAGGGCCCAATGGGTTTACCCACTGCAAACACTGACTTGACGTCAGTGTCAGCATCTGGTTTATCAACAGGAGTTGGCAATGCAGGCCTTCTACCGGGAATGAGTCGTCTTGCTATGGGCATGCACACTCGCCAAGCAATGGTGGGTGCTGCTGGTTCAGTGACTGTTGGGTCCTTGGGACCGGCAGGTGGGATTATCGGACAGGCCTCTCCTGGGGGAGTGATGGGGGTTGTTGGGGCCGGTGTAGCAGGCACAGTGGGTGGGCTTCCTGCTGGTGCAAGCCCTTCAGTGGGTGCCGTCAGCAATGCATCCATCATGAGGAGACGAGCTAATGATGTTGTCCAGATTGCCAACGTGAGTGTGCCTCTGACTGACTCGCTCACGTCGATCTCATCCCACTTAGTGCTCTTCGCCTTTCGCTCTCCTTTCTGCTTCTTCGCAATTCCATTTACCCTCTGCTCTGCGTTTCTCCCTCTCTCACCCTGAAGATGTGGAATGGGTCACTATTGCTTTGCAGGACTATGGGCTGTTAAGGCATACTTGCGTATTATCTGTCTGGGATTTGGTGTGGAACGTTGAAGGGGTGCATATGCTGGCTGTGAAGCAACATGGACTACTATTATTGTGCCTGCCAGCACCCAAGTAACGGTATTTCCATGTTGGTTGCTGGAGGTACGCCTGCTCAGAAAGTGTTAAGCCAATTGCTGTCTGACAACCTTTGTACCAATCAGATGTACCTCTTTTTTGGGACATAAATTGTGTCACTCAATTAGTTTTCAGTCTGTGCAAACCATGTCTTCACACTCCCTTGCCCTTACGTGTAAGGAAGGTTGATTGTGTCTTGAAACGTCGAGTCTTCTTGGAAACTGAACAGCTCGAGCTCAACACCGCCTCACTATCACTGGCAAGGCGACAGCCTGTGAAGAAGGGGCAGATCCATGGGAACTACTGTGGCAGACAGTAGACTACATTTCTTTGGGGCTTCGCCTGCAAAAACAAGAATGTGAGCAAACAGAACAGCATTCTCTCTCTCTCTCTCTCTCTCTCTCTCTCTCTCTCTCTCTCTCTCTCTCTCTCTCTCTCTCTCTCTATCTATCTGTTGTTTTATGCGTAACAATTCGGCTCCCCAGCACTTGGCTCTACGTGCCCGGCACCCAGTCGCCATCTGGCTTGGGTCTGACAGGTTTTGACGTTTTTTGCGGAATGTTCACCGTCTCTCGCTGGACTCTGGGCCGCTGACTGGACTGGACTGGACTGCGTTCCCCTTTTTCCAAACTGTCTTTGACTTATTTTGCTTGTCCTGTTGTACTGCAAACATCCAGAACTCTCTTCTTTTTTTTGCCCCCCTTTCTTTCTTTCTTTTTCTGAAAGGGCAACGGCCTTGGAATATCATCACATTTCCCCTCCCGCACTTCCTCCTTTCTTTTTTTTATAAGGGTCACGGCCTTGGAATATCATCATTGAATTGACAAGCCCTAGGTAATTCAGAGTTATATCATTCTGCTCGTCTTAGCAGAGATTGGGATTCGAACTTGGGTCTGCATTTCAACAGTTCATGGGTGTACCAACTGAGCGAAGGCCCATGGGGATTTTTTCTTTCCTATTGAACCCTAAGCTTCCGGAACTCTCTTTGGCCTAGTTTTCTTTTGTCACTGGCGCTAACTTCTCGAGCTCTCCTTTGGACTATCTAGTATCTATAGTGTTTTCCGTTTCTCACTGTGCCCTAACTTCTAGAACTGAACTCTCATTTGAGGAGGTTTTGGACTACATTTCTTTAGTTATTGGGTCCTAACGTCCCGGACTCTATTTTGGACCCCTTGCTAGACCTTTGGCACTACAGTGCCGACCTGTAGGCTCCTTGCATCGCTTATTCATTTGCTCTTCCCTCTCCTTTGTGACCTGCCACATCTTTCGTTGTTGCACGCTCCTCTGCTCTGTCCTTCTCTTTGTCTGCCATAAACGGTAAACAAAAGAGTGGCATCCCTTCTCTCTCTCTCTCTCTCTCTCTCTCTCTCTCTCTCTCTCTCTCTCTCTCTCTCTCTCTCTCTCTCTCTCTCTCTCTCTCTCNCTCTCTCTCTCTCTCTCTCTCTCTCTCTCTCTCTCTCTCACACACACACACACACACACACACACACACACACACACACACACACACACAGAGGGGGTGGGGAAGGTGCGCGCGATGAGTTTTTGTTTTCTGGCAGGCTCGATGCTCAACTGGACTTCGACGCTACGTGGAGTTTCCTCCTCTCTCTCACACACACACACACATGCGCCCACGTACACACCCACATACCCACCCGCCCACAATACGCACACGCACATTTGTCCACGATCTGATTCGGACACATGCCGCTCGGTTTCATCTTCGCCTGAAGTCTTCTGGGAAATGTTCCAAGATGCACGACGAGCAATACGGCTGTTCAAATGTTTTGTATTGAGCAGGAAATGCCAAGCAGATGGACATTGAATACTTTACTCGTATGTTATACCCCTCGTACTCTTGGTTTTCGTTTGCAAAATTTTCTGCTTTCTTTGCGGGCGGAGCTGCAACAGGTAAGCTAGTCTAGTGTAGTTTGCTAAAAAATAGGGCCTGCGGTTGTGGGAATTATGGTCAGTACCGCTCCTGTGCATTCCATCGCCACGGTCTTTGCTGTCAGTGGGCTGCTATCACATGTGTGCCAGTGTGGATGTCTCAATGCCAACCGTGTTGATGATAAGCACAAATCAAATGCATAAAAGAATCGCGAGGCTGCTGTCACCTGTGGAGACTCTGGAGAGGAAAGTCCTTGACGTTCCTACCTTCTTCCCCCAAATACAACATACACTGCCATACAGTCATTATATATGTATTTGGGGTATCTTTCAGTCTAAAATTCTAAATACAGCAACAATTACCATACGTTCTATTTGGGGGAAGAAGGTAGTGGAATGTTCCTTCAATTCCTTGCTGCAGTAGATCACAAGTATCCTTTCAAGGCATCGATGGTGGCGCATATCCTGAGCAAATAGTCTGACCAATTAACCATGAATCAGATGCATTCGGAACCCTGGCTGAATGCAATGGAACCAGAACGAGTAGGTTCTGTTTTCTTCGTTTTTTGTCAAAAAAAGAAGAAAACGAAGAAGAACCCTGGCTGAAATGATTTGTTCGTTGAAGTCGACCTGGTCGTCATTGCAACAGTATGGCTTGGTTCGAACTGTGTGTCTATATATGTTAAATGGTTTGTTTGTCGTGGTGATCCAGGTCACGATCTTAGTGTTATGAGAGTGTTATGACCTCAGTACTCTGTCATTTTGATATGGGCAGTGTTTATTGACTGCACAGATTGTTCTTGAAGGTGAACGGGGCCACAAGTGTCGGTGGAAGGAACTTGTATTCGGTCGTCCTAAGGATATGCTACATAGTAAAAGTTGTGAAAAACCGAAAAAGAGGAATTGATTCAATTCAATCAATTGATTGAGAAAAGAGAGAGAGAGAGAGAGAGAGAGAGAGAGAGAGAGAGAGAGAGAGAGAGAGAGAAAAGAATTCAAGTTGTTGCGACTTGTGCAGAGGAAAGTGCTTTGAGTTCAGAGTGGGATGTTCCTCCTCCGATTGCTTGCTGCAGTAGGTAACAGGTATTGTATTGCGTCAAGGCATGGATGCGATTGGATGGTGGCACAATTCTCGAGAAAGTTGCAAAAATCTAGGTGACTGGGTGTGACGCACACACCATGTATGTTGCAATGCGAAGACGTGGAAGCAAGATGCGTAAGCGTTTTATTAATCGATGGCGTGCTCCGCCAGCGTGTGAAACAGAATCAACCTGCAGTTTTGAATGAGCTGCTTCATCATCACTAATTGCGCATGGTCACTTGAGTTCAGTGTCGTGCCGTGCCGTGCTTGATATTTGGAAGAACACTGCCATTATGCAATTTCTGAATGGGCCTACTGCAGCATCTGGAAAAGTTCACCGCAGTGGGAATGCTAGAAAACCTTACGGGGGTTGGCATGTGGAACCTTCTGAGAAGAATGATGATGATGATGATGATGATGATGATGATGAAAACAGAGGAAGAAGGTAGGGAGTGTGGGAATGGTTCGTGTTTGCTTGGTGATCTGTTGTGAAGACTCAGTCGCTCATGGTTGAAGTTGTTTGTGAAACAATCATATGGGTGAGGATGACAGCTCTGTAGGAGCATGATGTTATGGTACGGTATAAGACTCTGCGTCTGCAATGGATGGATGGATGGATGGATGGATGGATGGAGTGGGAATCAGAAGGCTTTCCCAGTGAATGGCCGTTCGGAGTTCGTCTTGGGGATCAAAGGTGTGTGTATTTGATGTGTTGATGGGAGGGGACTTGTGTGTTTTGTGTTTGTGGGCTTGGGAATGCAGCCTCGCTGGTCGGAACAGCAGAAGCAGCAGCTGATGCTTCAGGCACTGGGCTCGGCATTGTCTCCTTCGGGTGGGGCTGCAGTGCAAATGAATCCGCATCTGTTGGCTGTTAGGTTGGCGAAACAACAGCAGCAGCAGCAGCAGCAGCAGCAGAAACAGTCCAAATCTGGAAGTGTCCAGCAGCTTGTGCAAGTGCAGCAGCATTCTGCAGTTCCAGGGCAGTTGATCGCCAGCCAAGTGGGGCAGCATATGGTACAGCATGCCTCAGCAGCAGCACAAGTGTCAAAACAACAGCAGCAACAGCAGCAGCAGCAGCAACAACAGCTCCAGGCAGGCCAGCAGGCAGGTCATACAACATCACAGCTGCAGCAGCAGCAGCAGCAGCAACAACCGCAGCGGGTGGTGAAAGGGATATCAGCTCGGGCAAGTATGATGATTCAGCAGCAGCAGCAGCAGCAGCAACAGCAACCAGTACACCAAGTTGGGCAGGTCGCAATCGGCACTCAGGTAGCCTTGGCAGCGCAGCTGACGAGTCCGCAGTCAGTGAATGCAGCAGTGCTACATTCGCAAAGGCTAGCTCAACAGCAGGCTCAGAGTCAACTCCTTCCGGGGCAGATTCAAGGAGGACAGATGCAGATGCAGGGCCAGATGGCACAGGTTCAAATGGGCCAGCTGCATGGACATTTACAGGGACAGGTGCTTGGACCTGGGCAAAAAGGCCTCGTAGTGGGTGGCATGGCGCAGGCCTTATCACCTTTGTCAAACTCCTCGGCCTCTTCTGTTCAGATAACAGGCCCCTTGCCTGGGCAGGTGCAGCATAGCCTTCAGCAGCAGCAGCAGCCACAGCAGCAGCAGCAGCAGCAGCAGCAGCAGCAACAACAGCAGCACTTCCAGTCACAGCTCGCAGCGCATCAACAACAGCAACAGCAGCAGCAACAGCAACAGCAGCAACAGCAACAGCAGCAGCATCAAGCACAGAAGCAGCTTCAGAAGCGGCAATTACAGCAGCAGAGACGAATGCAGCAGCAGCGCCAGCAGCTTCTAGGACAGACGATGGCCAAGGTGCCTGGATCGCAAACCCAATCACAGATGCTTGCGGGAGCCATGCAGCTGCAGTCAGGCATGTCAACAGGGGCATCGGCAGGGGGTGGTTATCAGATGGGATCACCAGCAGGCATTGGTGTTGCTTCCGGGCTCGTTGCTTCCGGAGGGGGTAGTGCTCTGGGGCTCTCTATGGTTCCAACGATGGGAATGAATGTTGGGGTCAGTTTGGCCAACACACAGTCGATAACGCAGGCAAACCCGTGGAAACACGCTCAAGGTTTGGCATCAGTGAGTGGTTCTGCAATGTTCAATCTCTCTCGCGGTGCTCCGATGGCAGTTACGACCCCAGCTCAGATGGTGACAAGAACAGCGGGTCCAATGGCTGTTGCAGGGATTGGTGGGTTCACCAATTCTGGGACATTGAACACAGCAAATGGAAGTTCAGGAATGGGGTTATCGATGGGCGTGACAATGGGAACGTCATTAGGAATGTCATCACCTACAACACTTGGCAGTGGAGGCCAGGGTCTGAGTTCGATTGCAGTGCAAGCAACTTTGCAACACCAAGCTCAGCAGCAGCAACAGCAGCAGCAGCAACTGCAGCAGCAGCAGCACCAACTGCAACAGCAGCAGCAACTGCAACAGCAGCAACTGCAGCAGCAGCAGCAACAACAACAACAGCAGCTCCAGCAGCAGCAGCAGCAACAACAACAACAACAACAACAACAACAACAACAATCGCAGCAGCAGCAGCATCAACAGCTTCTGCAGCAGCAACTCCAGCAGCAGCCACAATTACAACAACAACAGCAGCAGCAGCAGCAACAACAATTGCAGCAACACCAGCAGCAACAATTGCAGCAACACCAGCAGCAGTTGCAGCAGTTGCAGCAATTGCAACAGCAACAGCAGCAGCAGCAGCAGCAGCAGCAGCAGCAGCAGGGAGCACCAGGGTTGGTAGCGAATGGTCCAGGTGTGCAGAAGCTTGGGATCACGCAGTCCCAATCGGCAAAGGCCCAAGGCGCACAAATTGCCAATTCAAGGATTACCTTGACGTCAGCTCAATCATGTGCTCAGCGAGGCCAGCCAGGTCTGGTGGGTACCATTTCTGTGACAGCGCCACCTGTGTCCACTTGTGCTGGAGTGGGTTCCAACAGTGGACCTAATGGCGTGGCAGGAGTTTGCTCTGGAATCGGCAACGGCTTGGGTGGAGCGCAGGGGCAGGCAAGGTTGTCTTCCTCTAGAGGTGTTTCAACTGTTCCCGTGACAGGCAGCGGGGCTTCCATCAGTGTTGATGGCGGTACGGTGCCGTCGCCTGCAGGTGGCTTGTCAATGCCGGGCTCATCACTGCCATCGACAACAAGCATGCTGATGTATAACTTGGAACAGCAGGTGAGTCAACCATCACATGCTTTTTTTTTTTTTTTTTTTTTTTTTCAACAAACCACTCCACCAACTCAGAATGGCCGTGCACCACCACCCATAGAATCAAGGAGCTCTCAATCTGCCAATGCTTGCTATATATGGACATGTAAGGTGATCACAATGATCACATGCTATTTTCGAATGGTGCGGAAGCTGTCGCTGCTGAACACCGATGTGACTGTCTGTTAGTAACCATAACCATTAACCTTTCTTAATCAAGCCTTCACATCATTTTCATTTTTCATGCTTTCAATCCTTCACAGCGTAAATCTATTGCTTTCAATCATACTTGCAAGCAGACGGACCGGACGAGCGTCCGGTCCGGTCCGCCCCCCCGGACCGGACGGGGGCGTTTTTTTTTGGGTGGGGGGGTGGGGTGGGGCGTAACTGGTCGTCAGGCGCACATTCGTGCACCGCGCGGGTCTGGTCCGGCGGTCTGCCGCACTTGCGGAACCGCCCAGACGGCGTCCGCTTGCAAGTATGCTTTCAATCCTTCAGATCATAAATTTATTGCTTTCAATCCTTCAGATCATAAATTTATTGCTTTCAATCCTTCACATCATATGATCATTTTCATTTGTTCATTTTTTGATTTTTTTTTGCCGTTTGTTTCGCAAAGTGCGCTCTTGTAGTTCATAGTTGTGCCAATTTTGTCAATTTATATATATTTGCGGGCTGCCGACGACCCTCGGCCAGTAAGTGCCGTCCAGCCGACCGGTCAGCTGGTCGGCAGCTGACCAGTCCAGGGGCGCTGACCGTCGGGGTATGCACACTGCTGTACGTTGTATTCAGGGGAAGACGGTTGTCAAGGCTGACTTGGGAATGCAAAGGACATACGAAAATGGATTCGTCAACTTTCATAAAGTGTTTGCACAGTTCACAGTGAAGTGATGATCTGGCAAACCAGATGAGAGAAATGACAGGTTTTTTTTTTTTTTTTCGTACATCTATAGGTCCATTATCAGGATTCGAACTTGGGTCTGTATTTCAACAGTTCATGGGCGTACCAACCCAACTGAGCTAGAGGGTCGTTGGTAGCGAAATGCCAGTTTACTTATCAGCTGATAAAAGTGGAAATCTTCTGACGGTCTCTGATTTTGTGTGGACAAGGTACAGACTCAGGTTCCAAGTCAAGGTCAGTCACAATGCCAGACGCAGTCACAAAGCCAGATGCAGCCCCAGGCTCACACAGGGCCGGCTGCGGTTGCTGCAGCTGCCGCGCGAGCTGGAGCTGGTAGCATCCAAATGTCTCCCAAGCCTTCATCAAGTGACAGTAATTTAGCTAACCAGGGATCATCATAGTACCTTACCCGGCAGGGATGGTACCATCAGTGGCACCATTTGCATGTTCTGTGGATGCACGGAGACAACAGGCGATCGATGGACCCCGATGTGCCTTAAGCATGTGAGTGAACACAGTCGTATCAATGGCACCCGGTACCGTTGATGGAACCGTGAGCATGTCCTGTGGATGCAGTGAGACAGGCAATCGATCGATCAACTTCAATGTGGCTTAAGCATGCGAGTGTTGAAGTGGGTGACCGGTGGAGGTTTTGATGTGTGAACATCTCAGTGGAAGGTATTTGCGCTGCGCTTCCGTTTGGTGTATACGACGTATTCCACCTGGTTGTCTAGAGTGTCAGTGCCGCTGGTTGTATGACGGAGTGTACTGTTTTTGTCTTCGTATGAGCCAATGAGGTTTTATGAACTTTTATCGATGTTAATGTGCACTCGCTCATGAAGCCAGGCCTTGCCAGGCTGCGTCGATGAACGTTGCCAGGCATTCACCGGCCTGGTTTAGGCTGCCGTGTCCTTGTTGCATTCGAAACATGCTAGCCTGCTTCCAGTGCCTCCACCCATCGACACAACGACCGCCTTGACGTGAAGCTTGTATTTTTGGAAAGGCATGTGTTCAAAGCTCAAACCTGTTCCATGTTGTGTGTCTGGTATCACAGTCGACGGCAGAGTATTACGCCGCCCATAACAAGTCCGGCCTTCTCAGCGACACTGTAGCGCATGTCTGTAATTATGGAGAGTAGCCACAGAGGCTTTTTATAGCAAGACAAGGTTCCAATTTTAGGCTGAGACAAGAAAGTTTATGGACTAAGAAGGCGAAGCGACCGAGAAAGTTCATCCTCTGTTGCCATGGTCGCTGCTGTTTGGGGAGACAATCCAGCGCTACAAAGGATTGCAGCCACTCAGGCAGCAATCACAGGTGCCTGGTTTATAGCGGCATAGCGAAGATCCTATACATCTTCCTTTGGTGGGAATAGCGCCGGAGCCTTTTTTATTAGCTAAGAGTGCTTGTCCAGGCATGGCAATTTTTTTCCATGGGATGAGTGCAGCCCCATCCTGTTTAGTTGTTCCTCCAATCTCTGTTATTTGTTTGGCATGTAGAACTAGTTGAAGGAGCATGTGAAAAGCGAAGTCATGGGCGGGGATTCTCTTTGCTTGGTGAAACAGCAAAGCAGCTCCAGCCATTCACAATTTGTCTCTGCGTGTGTTGCTTGGGTCCAGATATCCCGAGCAAAAGTTTTGGTGGGAGAAGATCATCAGAAAGTGGCCAGCTGCAGCTTTGGACACAGGGAGGGAGGGGGGGGGGGGTTGAGCGAGAGGGAGAGTGTTTCTAATTTGATGCCCCACTTGTAGCTGGACTTTGTGATACAAGAGGGGAGGCTATCACTACCTGTGCGTTGCGATGCAGATGTTTAACGGCTGCGATTAGGGGAAAGAAGCATGGCTTTCCCCTCATCACTGGCACAATTGTCGAGAAGGATTGTTAGCGCATGTATATGTCTTGGGAAACGATGCTCTACTTATGCCGTCAGAGAGTAATAGGTTGCGACACTTACCCCATAACCCATAACTTTTGGCAGAGGTGGAGGTCCTGCAGGACTGTGTAATGTGAAGCGGCTCAAGCCACAACTTTTGGACTCCGGCCAACTTCATTGTGAGATCTGAGTTTCAGCGCACTATCAGGTGGGGCTCATCTGGCAGAGTAGCTACTCCAAGGAGCCATTGCTGCTTGAAGGAAGAGCCGTGGTGACATCAAGGAAGGGACCTGTTGTACCAGTTCCACTGTGGTACCAGTTTCACTGTCGTATGGGCCTCTGTGGTACCGAGTTCGAACTATGGCTTCACCAGTGGACGTAGTCTTTTAGCACATTGTCTGACGGAGCCACTGTGGTCGTACAGAAGTGCGCACGTGCACACATGCCCACATGCCCACATTCTAATATTGAAAACACGCGCGCATGCTACAACACACACACACACACACACACACACACACACACACACACACACACACACACACACACACACACGCACATGCACGTGCACTCATGCACACAGGCACAACAATGCTCAATTACCCAATGAATGGATTGCAGCACATGCTGGAGGGATGTTATATGCTGGGAAGGGAGAACAAACACACAGGTGTGGACGGGTTTAGGCAATTTGTTGAGCGTCAGATAAGTTGGTCCTAGGCGTGCAGTGGAAGAAAGGAAGAAAAGGGAGAGAGAGAGAGAGAGAGGGAGGGAGGGAGGGAGGGAGGGAGGGAGGGAGGAAAGAAGGAATGAGAGAGGTGAAGGTAGGGAGGGAAGAATAAAGAAAGGACGGAGGGAGGAATGCAGACTGCATGCAGGCTGCATTGTAGCGAGAGTGAGTTGGAATAGGAATTGAGAAAAGGTGATAGTATCCCCCGGCTCCAATTTGCGGCAACTGCTTTCTCCATTTCCAAAGTGGGAAGTCCCTTCGCACGTCCCGTCAAAAGTCCCATCAGAAGTCCCGTAGTATTTGCTTTTGCACCCTGGATCCGTTGGTTGGGCTCGTCATCAGTGATACTTCTCCCTCCTTTCCAGAGGAAGGCTTTGTTGTATAGAGGCATGCATCCCCTGTGAAATCATGAGAATTGATTATGGGACTTTTGTATTCCCTGGGTCCCATGGTGGTTTACCTGGGTCCCGCGGTGCTTATACGCTGGTCCAGTGGGATCCCAAAGAGCAGTTGTTCTTGCTTTGTACTCCACTCGATGACTCGTTTGTCGCATTGTTGCATTTTGTTTGGTAGACCGATTACCGATTTTGGTGGAGCAATTTTGGTGTATAAGCCGGTGGATGTCCCGCCTTTGTGGTCTGGTCTGAGTTCATGTTTATGCTTGTAGACTTGTAGTTATTGAGATATGCTAAACCCACACATCCATAGGGAGTGGCGTGTTTTGTGATATCAAGCTTGCCGGACTCACATGCCCGGTTCTCTCGTTTTCTCGCTTGGGTCACCCATTTTTTTTTTTCTTTTTTTTTTTTTGGTTTTCTCACACCCACCCTCAACACCCGGATCGAGAAACAGCCTAGCTTGTTTTGTCCTCTATTTTGCCCTTGGTTATTGCTCCTGTTGCGTGACTCACTCCTTGTTCTTGTCCCCTGGTTTTCTTTGTTTGTCGGACTCTGTCCTTTTGTGTTTCCTTTCCTTCGTTGCTGTATTTGTCTTCGTTCAAGTTGTTCGTGGTTTTTTTTTTTTTTTTTTTTTTTTTTTTTTTNCCCTTCCTCCTCGACTGCAGTAACCCTTCCTTCTCGACTGCTGTAGACTGCAGTACCCCTTTCTCCTCGACTGTAGTAACCCTTCCTCCTCGACTGCAGTAACCCTTCCTTCTCGACTGCAGTAACCCTTCCTCCTCGACTGCAGTACCCCTTCCTTCTCGACTGCAGTAACCCTTCCTCCTCGAGTGGGGAAGAAAGGTAAGCCGCCCTCTGTATGGCATGCATTTCAAATTCTGTGGCACGCGGTATCCCTTTCGCTGGATCGTATCTCCAAGCTAGACGAGCGGTATTATTGAACAATGATTCATGGTGGGGAGCGGTGTGATTGGAAACTATCACATGCGGTTCATCACCTGAATAGAACGCCTGGTCGTTATCCCTCCGTCGACTGAAAGTTGCACCAAGTACAGCTACGAGTTGAGTGAAGATGGTAATCACTCCTGACAGTCACTGGCTATGAAGACACCTCCTTCATCAGACGCGAAGCGTCTGCTCGCGTACAAATGCGGGTGCGACTTGCGAATGTTGTTCCGCTGGTAGTTATGGCCGCTGACAGCTGCCTTGATGTTCTCTCTCAGTTGCTTCAACTGAGCCTCATTCTGTAGAGACATAATGCCCAGAAGGACCAGGACGTACTTCCTCTTGTTGGCTAGTTTGGGCGAAGCCACCTCTACCTCCGCGGGTCTTTTTGCCAAGGTGGAGAAGAAATGTGCGCCAAGCTTTGCTGAAGCGCCAGGGCGCCCTTTTTTCTTTTGTTTTGGTGGGTGCCGCCAACCATTTTGGTCCAGCAGTGCCTGGGCTCTGAAGAATGCGGTAGAGGTTATATTTACGGCCTAGCCTTTGCCTCTGAAATGCAGTGGTGGTTTAAATACCCACCAGCGATAGCTGGGCGACAATACTGTAAATCTGAAACGACCTAGCCTTGAGACGCGGTTTTGGCACTCTGGTGACGGGGGGAAATATTGTAAATACTAAATCGGGGATTTTATCAGATAAACCCTTCCCTTTTAAACAGATTTTCTTCCCCACCACATACGAAAAACCTTAGAGGACTTTATAATATTTTGTTGTCACCTGAAACCCACCATGGGGTTTGGAATTTGGCGGAAGATCTTTTTCTACAATGTGAAAGGTGTTTTCTCTGGTGTGTGATCCGGGAAAAAACAATACAGTTCTCGGACGCTATTTGCAACTTTCCGAGCGTCGAAACAAGGGGTTGGGTTCTCACCCCATCGATCTTCCACAAGGAATTTCAGATTAGATCATTAGAGGGTAAATCATAGTAAAATCATAGTGAAATGAGATAAACAGTGTTCTCTAGGTCAAAGGTTAGCCACTGTGTAGCACGCCGAACATGTTCGGAGCTTTTTCGAACGTTCGAACATGTTTGGGTGTTCGGCCGAACGCCTCCCGAACGTGATCGATCAAACATATTTAAAAAAAAAGAAAAGTTTGTATACAAATTTGAGCATACATCCCAGGCAAAAGTCGTTTGTATTATTATTTTACATAACAGCTCTGTTTGACTATATATATTTTTCAGATTTATTTGAGGGTTTTTTTTTTTTTTTTTTTTTTGGGCCATTTCTTGTTTTATGTGTGTCATCGTTGCACAGGGGCCATGCTTCCTGTATCGTTCCAATTTTAATGGAAGTCCCCAAAGGACATTGTTTGTGTTCTGGCTTGGCATCTCTGGTTCTTTTCTTTTGTTCCTATCAGCAGGGTTGCATACGTGTCGACCGCCGACTGCGACCGCCGACCGTTTTGCAGCCGACCAGTAGGGCCAACCCGTCGGCGGTCTGCCGACTAGTCAGAAAACAGCCGTCCACCTAGGCTTCATTTCCGTGCGCATGGGTGCCCCCGGGACGCACGGATCCTTGCACGGCCGCATGGCCGTGCGGGTCCCCCGTGCGGCCCCAGCGCGGTGTTCAGAAAAAAATGCTAACTTTTTCTCTGCTCCGTGTACTTCTGTTTCTCCTCCCTTGTCGTCTACCTTCTTCTTCCCCTCCCGCCATATCCTTCGTCCCTCACACTCCACCCCACTCTCCCTCCCGCTCCCGCCTACTTGCCCTCCCGCCCTCTCCTTCGTCCCTGCCACAATCCCCTACTTCTACTCCTGCCATCTCCCTCGTCGCTCCCGCTATCCTCCACCTCTCTCCCGCCACTTCGTTCCTGCTCTTCCACCATTCTCCACCTCTCTCCCGCCACTTCGTTCCTGCTGTTCTTCCATCTACACCTCTTTTCCGTCGTCTTCTTCCTACCTCCCTTCCGCCATATCGAACCTCCATCCCGCCTTCTCCCACCTACCTCCCGCCACCTCCCACTTCCCCTCCCGCCATTTACCACCTCCATTCCGCCGTCTCACACCTACTTCCCGCTACCTGCCACTTCCCCCACCACCATCACCGCTTCTCTGCATGTGTGGAGAAGGCAGATTCGGCACTTCTCTTCATGCACAGCAGCCCCCCATCACCACTGTTTTTTTTTTTTTAATACCCCGCACGGGTGCACACGGTCGCGCCGACCCGGCTGGGCGGCTCAGGAAGCCTAGCCATCAACTGGTGATTTTGTTGTGTGCAACACTACGCTTTTGGTGGTGTGGTCTGTGTCTGTGCTGTGGTTTTGCGCAGTTCATTTTTGTTTCTTGCAGCTTATGTTGTGCGTCCCATGGTTTATTTTCTTTTCCGCTGGTTTCATTCTGTGGTTTTGTGTCCTGTTCTGGTCTAGTAAACTGGGTGAAGGTTCGTTTCAGTCTGTCGCTTGTGTTTGGTTTTGTTTTTGTTTTTGTTTTTCCTCAAAATTTTGGACCATTTCTCAATTCATGATTCATGTGTGTCATCTTTGCACAGGGGCCATGCTAATCTTCTTTCTCTGTATCGTTCCAATCCGTTTCAGTTTTAACGAATGCCCCGAAGGATGCTTCTGATTGGTTTTGCTGTGGTTTGATATGCTTTATGTTGTCCTGCGCAACGGTGCTGCATTTTGTTTGAGAGGGGAGATGGCCATCGTCATGCCGGTGTGGTGTCTTGTCCTGTGTGGTTGTGTTTGCGTTCGGCCCACACAGAGATGGGGTTTGACTTGTGTTCTGTTCGTATCATTTGGGTTTGGGTTTGTACCCAGGTCTGGTTGAGGTTCGGATCTCGGGTCGGGTGCGGCGGGTGTGAGATGGGGTTTTGGGGATTTATATGTGGGGTTGAAAGTGGGTGTTTGGAGTTTGGGAATATTGTGATTTGCATACTTTGCATCTGGTCAGGCTGGGCGTCGTAAGCTGACTTGCAGTGGTGCACAATCCTTCACTATGGAAGCTTTGTTTTTTCATGTGTAACTATTATTGTATAGTGTACTACCGTCTTCACCCGAATAGAACGTCCGGGCATTATAGCCGTATCTGTACTGAAAATTGCACCAAATACGGCTATAATGACCGGGCGTTCTATTCGGGTGAAGACGGTAGTACCAGGTCTAGTCCAGGTTCGGATCTCAGGTCAGCTGCAGCAGGCGCGAGCTGGTTTGTTTTTTGGGGGGGATTATGTGTGGGGTTGGAAGCGGGTGTCTTTGGGGTTGGGATTTGCATACTTCGCATCTAGTCAGGCTGGCCTGCTTCAACTGACTTGCGTTGGCGAGCAATCCTCTACAATGGCAACTGATGTTTTGTGTTTTCTTTTTCTGTTTTTTCTAGTGTGAAAAACAGTGTAATAGTTTACTTA